TTGCTCCTTGATTCGAAAACCAGATGAGAACACCCCATGAAAAGAACACTTAAGCCATGCTCACTCACATAGCAGCAAATATTCTAAATAATTTAATATCATATTCAACATAGCAGTGAATTAAATGAACAAATGGGCTGTGTCTGAGGAATAAAAATATGATTTAACATTAGAAAATACTTTCAATTATAATTCCCTGTACAAATTAGGGGAGGAAAAACACTTGATCACATCAATGGGTACATAAAAGCCTTTGAAAGAAATTCAACAAAAGTTTGTGGTTTTAAAAAAAAAAGTAAGCTAACATTAGAATAGAACTTCAATTTCCTAAAGTCTATTGCAAACACACTTAAATGTGAAATACTAGAAGAAATTCCATTAAAGCCAGGGACAGACAACACAGAAATGAATGTTCTCTCCTCTACTGTTCAAAACTGCACTGGGACACATAAAGCAATGAATGTCAAAATAAAAAGAGATATGAATATTGAAAAGAAAGATAATATTTGGTGACAATATTATCTATAATATATGTGGAGTATTGAATGATTGAGAGACTTCAGAGAAATGTATATGGAAGATCATTATAGCAAAATCAAGAAGCTTGCCATCTAAAAGCAATAACTAGTTAGAACATGAAATAGAGAATACCTCATTTACAATGGCAACAAAGTCAAGAAAATTACCTAAAAAGAATCCTAACAAACATGTACAAGATATTAATGGAGTCAAATATAAAAGCTTTCTTATTGATTCAGCCAGATGTCCCAAATAAATCGAGCAGTGAAACATATTCATTAATGGGGAACAGAAGATTACAAAGATGTGAATTATCCTTAAATTATTTACTGATTTAGTGTCTTACCTGTAGATGCCAAGATGACCATCAGGTTCAGATTGCGGACTTCCACTCCCCAAATCAACTCTCAATAACTATAGAAAGGAGGGGGGCGGAAATCAACAGCAAAATCTAAACCACAAAACTTGAGAAACCCCTGGGGAAGACTGATGGCTGTGATGAGCTCTGTCCTGTGTTCGGGGAGGAGGGGTGGGGAGAAGCGTGGAAGTTGGGGAGGGGCTGTAGGCTGCAGAGATGCCGATGGCAGGATGGGTAAGGAGAAAAGATTTTAAACTTCTGCCTTTTTCATTGCACAAGCCAGAGGCAGGCCCTCTGACCACAGATACCAGTAGCCCTGGGATAGCATCAGACAGCAGGAGAGATGAAATGATTGAGGTAGTAGGGCCCCAAAGCCTGTGCTAATAACCACCTGAAACCATTTTATTGTGTTAAAAGGAAAAACAAATGGAGACTAACCTTGAAAAATTCCCTGAGCAGATAAAACCAATTTAGTCATACAAACAAAGCTTAATTTAGCTTATTTTTCAGGACTAACTTGATCTGGGTCATTTCTTGCTTATGCCTCTGGAAATCATAAGCAAAACTTAAATTGTTTCCCAAAATTGATATGAGGTAATCACTAACCAATTCCCTATCATTTAAGAAAATTCAAATATTATAACCAACCACTGTGAAGAATAAACAGGCACTGCCTTCCCACTATATAAGCTGCTTTATAACAATATACCCCTGAGCCTCATTCCATGTTTGGTTTGAGTGCTCTGTGTTCACAAACTGTCTTTTTGGCATGCACAGAATAAACTTTTACTAATTATTACTCCAGTGATTCATTGGTTTTACTTCTGTTATTTCCGAACTTTTGACAAGTGACTGAGGACTGGCTTTTCAAAAAATTATTTTCATAGAAGATAAAGAATGGACTGGAAATAGAACAGGAGCTATCAGAGTGATCCACACACTAAGTGTAGGTATTCTTTCATGAAATTTTATATATATTCTAAATATACACTTGGTAGAGATGTAAAAAAATTTTTTTACTAGGAATGAGGGTTAAGAAAATGAAAGTTGGTGCTCTGGACTATGAAATGTTAGATAATTTCAAACGAACAGGACCTCCCCTAATACTGCTGCTCAGCCTCTTCCGTGCAGAAAATGAATCTTTTAGAACAAAATGTTTCTGAAGTCTGGCTGGTTGGTGAAGAGACTCCATTGAAAGGTTTGCTTCTTCTCTGACCCTCCCCAGCTAGAATCTAGTTTGTGCTAGAGAATCATTCTCTACAAGGGATGCTGCTGACCAGATGCTCAGAGCTGACAGAGAGGGAGCTCTCCCAGCCAGCATTTAACCAAGGACCCAGGGGCCAAGTTGAGGACCCTCAGGAATGAGGACTGAGGCGGGGGCATCCTCCCAGAAGGTCCAGACAATCCAGCTCCACACCTGATGACAGCTCTGGGAGACTCCTAGCAGAGCTGTCAGGCTGTGAGCCTCCCTCAATTTTGCCCTGGGGATCTCAGAGCAGTGAGAGCATTGCCTGAAAGGGGACATACTCAGGTCACAAGAGGGAGGAGTCTCAGGCCCTGCTAGGAGTCAAGGTGAAGATCTTGAAGGAGCATTGGAGGAACCTCCCAAACCAGAAGAGAGGGGTCCCACCTTTACCCTGTCCCTGCAGTCAGCTCCCATTGGCCCCAAGTCAGAGGGATGTGGAAGCCCCTGACTTCCTTCTGGGGAAGCAAGGAATGCAGGTCTCAGGGAAGTGAGGCTTGGATAGAGGGATGTGTCTTCAGATCAGCAGAGAAAGGAGTCCCAGTACCTGCCAGGAGTCAAGACAAGGACGCTGAGGAAGGACAGAAGGGACCTTCAACCTCAGAACAGTAGTTAGCCCTACTCTGCCCCTGCTATAAGAGTAGGGAGGCCCCAACAAGCTGTAGCCTGATATGGTGGCCTCTGGCTTCTGCTGGGGGAGATGGTCTCAAGGAGGGAAAGGCATTGATCTGAAGGGGCTGGACTCAGGTAAGCAGAAGAGAGGGTCCATGAACTGTCAGTATTCAAGGTGAGGACACTGAGGGAGGACTGAGGGGACACCGGACTCTAATCAGAGGGGGCCCTTGGAGGCCCTGGGGCAGGATGACAACAAGTAGCATTTCCTGACATCCGGGTCTCAGAGCGACTGGGGACCTGGTATAATGGGTGGGGCCTCTGGTGGGTAGAGAGTAGGGCCCAGAACCTGCTAAGAGTCAAGGTGAGGACCCTAAGGGAAGACTGGGGGCACCCTGGACTCCAATCAGAGGGGATTTCACACATCCCTGTCCCTTCAGGTGGCCCTGGGAGGCCCTGGGGTTGGATGAGCACCCTAGGCCTATCCTGACTTCCTGACATCCAAGTCTCAGAGAGACTGGGGACCTGGGGTAAGGGGCAGGGCCTCAGGCAGGCAAAGGGGGGATCCCATGTCCTGCCGGGTGTCAAGGTGAGGACCCTAAGGGAGGACAGTGGGGACCCTGAACCCCAGAACAGAGTTGTCCCTGGAAGGCCATAGGTTGGGATGAGCACGTGCAGCAATTCCTGACATCTGGGTCTTAGAGAGGCTGGGGAGGGGGTGTAAGGGGCGGGGTGTCTGGTGGGCACGGGAGAGAATCCCAGGTCCTGCGTGGAGTCAAGGTGAGGGCCCTGAGGGAGGACTGAGGGGAGCCTGGACTCCAGAACAGAGTTGGCCCTGGGAGGCCATAGGGCAGGATGAGCATGTGCAGCACTTCCTGACATCCGGGTCTCAGAGAAGCTGGGGACCTGGGATAAGGGGCGGGGTCTCATGAGCACAGAGGGTAAAATGTCAGGTCCCTGGTGGACTAAGGTTAGGGCCCTTAGGCAGGACTGAGGGGACCCTGAGGGAGGACAAAAGGGACCCACCAGATCACCACCCTTGCAGGTGGCCGTGGGAGGCCCCGGGGCGGGATGAGCACAGTAAGCCTGTCCTGACGTCCTGAAGTCCAGGTCTCTGAGAGACTGGAGACCTGGTATAAGGAGCAGGGACTCACACTGGCAGATGGGACAATCCCAGGCTCTGCCCAGAGTCCAGCCTGCACGCGAGGAAGGAAGGATTGAGGACGTTAGACCCCAACACAGGGAGGGATACTTTGCCCTTCTGCAGGGGTCTTGGAGGCACCGGAGGACGGTCAGCAGATGAGATGTTTCCTGACCTCTGGCTCAGGGTCCTCAGGAGGTCAGGTGTTTGGTGTGAGGGGTGAGCCTTCAGGTCCGCAGAGGGTGGACTCCCAGGACCCCGAGGGAGGACTGAGCAGACCCTCAGCCCTGGTACAGGGGCCTCAACAGAAACCTGCCCCTGTGGTCAGCGCTGGGAGGCCAGGCAGGATGTGAGGAGGAGGTGAGGACCCAGCATCTCCTCATCCTAGGACCCTTGGGAGGCCCTGGGCAGGTGCAGCCACCTGTGGGGCCCCCTCCCTGCTTTCTGTTCAGATTCGGGGTCCTGATCTGAGTTTCCCCTCAGGCCTGCAAAGGGGAGGGTCCAGGCCCTTAAGGGGAACAGTGAGCACGACGAGCGAGCCCCGAGGGGACCACCCACCCCAGAACTCAGAACTGGGGGGACCTCACAGAGTCCGGCCCAATCCTCCTACCAGCACCGAGGCCCAGAGCTGTGCCACAGTCTACACAAGAGGTGCGCCCTCCATTCCTCTTACAGGGGCTCCAGGAACCGGGAGGCGAAGGCCCAGGTCTGAGGACCGTGTCCTCAGGGCACAGAGCAGAGGAGGCCCAGGCAGCGCCAGGAGTCAAGGGGAGGTGTGTGCCCTGAGTGTGTACCCAGGGGCTCCCCCTCCCAGAACAGAGGGGACCCCCCAACACCCAAGTCATCCCACCACCCTGTCAGCCCCAGAACCTGGGGCCGTGCTGGCTGCACCCTGAGGAGCCCCCTCACTTCCTTCTTCAGGTTGGCAGGGGACAGGCCGCCCAGGAGGAGCGTCCCTGTGAGGCCCGAGGGCACCCCTGAAGACGAGACCTGTAAGTGGCCTTTGTCAGAGCTGCCCAGGGTGCCTTTCTCTGCCGAGGCCGCTCACACCCCCTCTCTCCCCCAGGTACGAGGTCCCCGCCTGTCACCCCTGCCCACCCCCAGTCGGCTTCCTGACACCAGTCGTCATGCCTCGTGCTCCAAAGCGACGGCGCTACATGCTTGAGGAAGGCCATCAGGCTCAAAGTGTTCCCATGGCTGAGGAAGAGGATGATTCCTCTTCTTCCTCCACCTGCTCCTCCTTTTCCTTTAGCTGTCCTCTGATCTTGAGCTCCCCAGAGGAGCTTTTTGCTCTTTCTGACACCCTGAGTCCTTCACAGAGCCTTTCAAGTGCCTCCCCCTCCCCGTCCCCCACTGCTGTTGTCTCTACTCCATTGAGCCAATCCGACAATGGCTCCAGCAGCCAAAAAGAGGAGGGTCCGAGCACCTCACAGGCCCTGCCAGATGCTGAGTCCTTTCCAAGAAATGTGATTAATGACAAGGTGGGTGATCTGATAGAGTTTCTGCTCCTCAAGTATCGCACCAAGGAGATGACCACAGAGACAGAAATGCTGAATATCATCACCGAAGACTACAAGGACCACTTCCCTGTGATCTTCAGTGAAGCCTCGGAGTGCATGCAGCTGGTCTTTGGTATTGATGTGAAGGAAGTGGACCCCAGCGACCATTCCTATGTCCTGGTCACCACCCTGGGCCTCACCTATGATGGGGTGCTGAGCGATGGGCAGAGCATGCCCAAGACTGGCCTTCTGATATTTATCCTGAGTATAATCTTTATGAAGGGCGACTGTGTCCCTGAGGAGGAGGTGTGGGAAGTGCTGAGTGCGACGGGGGTATATGTCGGGAGGGAGCACTTTATCTATGGGGAGCCCAGGGAGCTGCTCACCAAAGTGTGGGTGCAGGAGGGCTACCTGGAGTACCAGCAGGTGCCTAACAGCGATCCTGCATGCTATGAATTTCTTTGGGGTCCCCGGGCCCACGTGGAGACCAGCAAGATGAGTTTCCTGGAGTTTTTGGCCAAGATCAATGGAAGTGACCCTAGATCCTTCCCTCTGTGGTATGAAGAGGCTTTGAGAGATCAGGAAGAGAGAGCCCAGTCTAGAATTGCCACCACAGATAATACTACTTCCATGGCTAGTGCAAGTTCTAGTGCCATGTCCAGCAGCTTGTTCAGCCCTGAGTGAAGTCTAAGGCAGATTCTTCACTTTGTGTTTTAAGAGGGCAGTCAACGATCTAAGTAGTAGAGGGCCAGACTTGGGATGAGGGAATCATAGTGAATAACATCTTTCTGTTTCTGTTCCATTGGGTGACTTAGAACTTTATAGAACTTTACCTTCTTTTATTTTTGGTATTTTAAAATGTTGTTGCTTAACTAGAAAGTCTGCTAGCCTCAGAATCTAAGTTTATGAATGACATTGGTCACACATTTATTGTTTCTTGTCCAGTTTAGGAGAAAGAGTTTTGCTATTTTGTAAAATGAATTGGGAAACCTTCCATTTTATTTGTAGTCTGTAACAAGATAAGATGGCATTAGAATAAGAATTTCCTTGGAAATGTGAAAAAGCTTAGTAAAATAGAGAAAAAAATTAAGTGGTTTATTTTATAATTCTCATCATTTTTAGTCTATTCTGTAAAATTAAGATATGTACTTGGATTTTCTTAGCTTATTCAAAAATGTAGAAGAAATTAAATAGTAATAAATGAAATCTCTGCTCACTGGCTCATTTATTCCACAGACCTTCATGGAGCCTCTGCTCTCTGGAAGGCCCTGTGTTAGTAGTGGGGACACTAGGAAAAGCAGGACACACCCACACCTAGAGTGATGGTCTAGGAGCAGCAGTCACATGAGGAAGATGTAGAGATGTCCCCTAAGTCCCACAGAACAAGGGAAAATGGGACAAGGCGGTGGGGCTCCAGGAGCGAGCACTCAAGTGTAAGTGCCCCAAACCAGGGCAGTTTGGGGCTTTGGGAAGCAGGGGTTCCTTCTGTGGGAGGTGATGATAATGAAGCTGGGTGGTGGCAGTGGCCAGACTCTCAGACGGTGTATCTTAGGAGTGAGAGAAAAACCTAGATAGAAAAACTGCTCTTGGAAGTTCCTTTTGGATAATGGATAAACCAGAGAGAAATCACTTCCTGGGGCAAGTAAGGAATTTGTCCTGTATTCTTGTCCCAGTGCAGTTGAACACAAGACATAGCTGTTTTATAAATATCATCTGCAAGGGTTTCCTGAGAAATAAGGGTGAATATCTTTTAAATGATGCCCAGAAGTCACTGTGCAGGCACCATTTTCCCTGGCCTGGGAGAGCCAGTGATGACTCTGTTAGAAGGCATTTTAATTAGATTACCTTTAATGTAATTTGGCCAGTTCTGAGCCATGTATAGATTTGGGGGGGGGAATTAATGAAAATAGCGATTTGGATGGAAGAGCAGCTGGGAGGTAGGGACAGAGTTGTTGGTCTTTGGCTCAAATTCTAGGAGCTTTGAGTTGCATCCAGCTGGGGAAGACTTCCCTATACCTAAATTTAAAAATATATCCTCTAAGAAGGAAAATTTACTGAGTTTTATTTACAAAGCAGCATGGTTGGCTGATTTTGGTATTACATGTCCTATTGCATTGAGTATTCTCTAAGATGTACTGGATAACAACAGCAACAACTTCTAGAGTAGAGGGTAGGAGTACCTGGGGTCAAATTAATAATAGAAATACAGTAGTCCCCTCTTATCTGCCAGGGATTATGTTCCAAGACACCTTGTGGGTGCCTGACACTGTGCAGAGTACTGAACTTTACATATACTACGTTTTTTTCCTATACTAATGGGTGAGTAGCATATATAGCGTGGATATTCTGAACAAAGGGATGATTCATGTCCTGGACAGGACGGAGTGGGACGGCATGATTTAAAACTTATGAATTGTTTATTTCTCAAATTTTGTATTTAATATTTTCAGACCCTGGTTGAGCTCAGGTAACTGAAACTGCAGAAAGCAAAATGGCAGATATGGGGCAACTACCATAACAGCTAATCATTAAAGATTGAACCAGGCACTGTGTGAGGTGCTTTACAAACATTACATACATTCCAGCAGTCCTACAAGTACAAGACAGGGCTCATCAAACCCACTTGCTTCACAGATGAAAAACCTGAGGCCATAGGGCTTGGTAATTTTCCCATGATTACATGGTTAATAAGTGACAGGGCAGGGACTGGATCCCTAGCCTAAATTCGTCTGGAGCCTGTGCTTTTCCCACTCAACCCCAGCCTGATACCAACCTTCTGACTCTAAATCATTTCTCTTCTCAGTACTCTATAAAGTCTCTCAGGTGACCAAAAGAAGGACCCTATGCCCAAGGTACTAAAAGCAGTCCTAAAGAAGGAAGGTGACAAAATCAATCAAACAGGATTTGGGTATTTTTTGTGGGCTTTATTAACATAGGGTCCTCCTGCCTGAGTTCCAGTGTCCCCTGAGAGCTGAGGTGCCAGATGTCTGTCTAGTCCCAGCACCTTCCCACATGACAGCACTCATCCCCTGATCTTCCCCTATGTGCCCTCCAGTCCAACTCTGGAACCTGACTGACTTACCAGCTCATCACTGCTGCCTCTTCTGAAATCTGTGCCCATCCCCAATGAAACAGCCCATATCTCTTGCCCTCCCCCTGACATAAAGCATTTCCACTCCTGGCAGAAGTACCCAGGCTGTCTCAACCCACTGCCCACTTACAGTGTCCCTTTGGCATAAGTGTTCACATTGAACAGTGATGTTTAGACATCTGGCATTACTTCTGCCCCCCACCCAGGTATCTTCAACAAGCTTTCTAAATGAGTTTATAAGTAGAATCTAACTTGACAAGTAATCGACCAGTTCTTGGATATAACCCTGAAGTTAGAAACCACCCTGATATTTGCAGCAGAATTTTAATGGAGCATCTTATTTGAAACGGGCCATGAACACATGGCACATATTTATGAGCTTACCTAAGAGGTCAAAACCCAAAGCCTCCCTCAAGAATTAATATTGTTAAAATGGCCATACTACCCAAAGCAATCTACAGATTTAATGTGATTCTTATCAAATTACCCATGACATTTTTCAAAGAACTAAAACAAATATTCCTAAAATTTATATGGAATCATAAAAGACCCAGAATTGCCAAAGCAATCCTGAGGTAAAAGAACAAAGCAGGAGACATAAACCTCCCAGAATTCAGACAATACTACAAAGCTACAGTAATCAAAACAGCATGGTATTGGCACAAAAACAGACATACAGATCAATGGAAAAAAGAATAGAGAGCCCAGAAATAAACCCATACACCTACTGTCAATTAATTGTTGACAAAGGAGGCAAGAATATACAATGGGGAAAAGACAGTATCTTCAGCAAGTGGTGTTGGGAAAGTTGGACAGCTGCAGGTAAATAAATGAAGTTAGAATATACCCTCACACCATAAGCAAAAATAAACTCAAAGTAGCTTAAAGACTTGAATATAAGACATGACACCATAAAACTCCTAGAAGAGAACATAGGCAAAACATTCTCTTACATAAATTGTACCAATGTTTTCTTAGCTCAGTCTCCCAAAGCAATAAAAATAAAAGCAAAAATAAACAAATGAGACATAATCAAACTTACAAGCTTTTGTACAACAAAGGAAACCATAAACAAAACAAAAAGATAACCTACAGACTGGGAGAAAATATTTGCAAATGATGCGACCAACAAGGGTTTAATTTCCAAAATACACAAACAGCTCATACAACTCAACAACAACAACAAAAACAAACAACCCAATCATTGTTTTTGACAAGAAATCTACTCTTACCCTTATGTTTGCTCCTCTGTAGTAAAGTGCCTTCTTTTCTCTTGGTACTTTTAAGATTTTCTCCTCATCACTGATTTTAAGTAACTTGAATATTGTGGGCCTTGGTATAGTCTTGTTTTTCACATTTCTTGTTCTTGGCACTCTTTTTGCTTTTTGAATCTGTGGGTTTATAATTTTTATCCAGTTTGGAGATTTGTCATTCAAATATTTTTTCTATCTCCCCTTTTTCCTCCCCTTTGGTGTTTCCAAATATATGTGCATAGGTCACTTGAAGTTGTCTCACAACTTGCTAATGCTTTATTCATTGTTTTCAGTATTGTTTTCTCAGGGTGTGTTTTTTCTGGAAAGTTTTATTGCTATATCATCAAGTTCACTAATATTTTCTTCTTACATGTCACGTGTGCCATTAGTCCAAACCAGTGTATCTTTTCAATTCAGACATTGTAGCCTTCATATCTCAAAATTTATTTAGGCTTTTTTTTATGTCTTTCATGTCCCTATTTAGCACGTTTAGCATTTTGTCTTATCATTTGAACATATGGAACACAGTTATATATAACACTGTTTTAAAGTCCTTGTCTGCTAACTCTATCATCTGCCTGATTTCTGGGTCAGTTTTAATTTATTTTTCTCCTCATTACTGTTCCTGCTTTCCTGCTTCTTTGAATGGCTGGCAATTTTGCTTTCTATTTTTGTTTTTAAGATTTTCTTTTGATGTGGACCATTTTTAAAGTCTTTATTGAATTTGTTATAATATTGCTTCTGTTTTATGTTTTGGTTTTTTGGCCCTGAGGCATGTGGGATCTAGTTTCCTGACCAGGGATCAAACCCGCACCCCCTGCATTAGAGGGCAAAGTCTTAACCACTGGACCACCAGGGAAGTCCCGGCTGGCAATTTTGACTGGATGTCAGACATTGTGAATTTTACTTTCTTAAATCCTAGATATTTTTGTGTTTCTATAAATAAATATTCTTAAGTTTTTTCAGGGACACAATTAAGTTACTTGGAAACAAGTTACTCATTTTTTTGTCTTACTTTTAAACTTTATTAAGTGAGATAAAAAAGGTGCTTAGATTATGACTAATAGTTCCTCTCTTCTAAGGCAAAACCACTCTGTGTATTCTAACTGAGCCTGATGAACTATGAGGTTTTCCACTCTGACTAATGGGAATAGGAATAATTCCCAGATCTGCATGATCTCTGGAGATTTCTCTCTGTGGAGCTCTCTCGTCTCTGGAATTTTGTCCTGCAAGCTCTTGCCACCTAGCATCCCCTAGACTCCCAGCTCCATCTCGACTCAAGAAGATGGCCAGGCTCTCCATTACACACTGTGACCTACAATCTTTCTCTGGGCAGTAAG